GTCGATGAGGAGGGCCCGCCTCCCTGCGCCTGTCCCTGGGCAGGCCTGCCGGTGGCAGACAAGCCAGGGGCAGGCACGAGGGGGGCGGGCGTGATGGGGGCGGGCGAGAGGGGGACAGGTGCGCGGGGAGCTGGCGCGCGGGGGAGAGCCGGCTCGAGGGGGAGAGCTGGCTCGAGAGGGAGAGTTGGAGCGCGGGGTGCGGGCGCGAGGGGGAGAGCTGGCGCGCGGGGAGCTGGCGCGCGGTAGGGGGGCGAGCGGGGGGGAGGGAAGCCGTTAGGAGGCAGGCCGGTGGGCCTGCCGGTCGCCTGCATGGCGCGCAGGTTGAAGGTCTTTGCCCGCGCGCCGCCGGCGATCGTGCTCCAAAGAGCGGGCTGCTGCGCGGGCGGGCGCGGGACTGGTTGCTGCGGGAGAGCAGCGGGTTGCTGGGGGGCCGGGGCGGGCTGTCGGGGCGGCAGGGTGGGCTGTCGCGCCCCCACTGCCGGCAGGCCGCGCCCCAGGGACGCTGGGGTCTCCGGCTGGGCTCGCATGGTGCCCCTCGGTATGGTGGGAGGGGTTTGGTGGTCCACCGAGGGTAGCTGAGATGACTTGTTAGTTTCCTTGTCTGCTTCTGCGTGGATGTTTTTATTGCTTACCTCGGTGTCCTCGCCCTCTGGTAGTGGAGGGGAGACGGAGGTATGAGGAGTGCACTCTTGTAGTGCGCTCTGGTCTTCTCCCTCTTGTTCCTCTTCTCGAGGCGTGGTATGTGGTACCTCTTGTGTTGATGGAATAGTAGGAGAGGTATGTGTTGATAGGATAATATGAGTTGTGTGTGATGCGGAAGAGATGAAAGTTGTGTGTGTTTGGAGAGGAAGAAGAAGAAGAGGAACAAGAGGAAGAAGAGCAGGAATTGTAGGGACAGAGATGTTGGGCCTTTTTATATTATCTTCCTGAGCTGCTCCTTCCGTTCTCTGGCTTGTCGTGCCACGAGTCGGTGTCGAAGTGGCTCCAGGGACAGAGGAAGTGGAAGGAGAGGACGGACTAACACTGTCCACCACGGTGGGGTAATCGACCAAGGCAACACCAACATCGACCGGACATGCTACTACCTGAGAGGTCACTTGTGCGGGACCTTCGAAGCTAGGGCCAGGTTCTTCGGGGCCGTGGCTGTGGTCGTGGTCGTCAGGGGCGTGCTCGTCAGGGGCGTAGTCGCCGATGGCCTGGTCCTTAAGTTCGGCGTCGTCGACTTGGGTACCTATGTACTCTTGACCCAAACAGACAGCCGGAGCCGAATTTGCCCTCGAACGAGACCCGATATGCGCACTGTGAGGCGTAGCTGCATCGGCGGTCGTCGTGTCGTCTTGAACTTCGGGAAAAACTATTTCCCGTCCCTGAAGAGTATCCGCACTTTGAGATGCCTCGTCGATGTCATGTGTCTCTGCCTCTCCTTGTAGACCTTGGCCACCTGTACTATACTCTTCCTCTCCTTGTAGACCTTGGTCGCTCCAGTATGGTTCGATTGTATGTATATAGGGGTAGCTCAAATCGATTCGGGACATTGTAAGATGAGTTCGAAAGTGAGTACGCGTATAGTCGCAGTGTAGGAAAGGATCGTCAGGATTGAGATGGGGCTGATACCACACACCCATCACATCATATAATAGCCCAAAGTTGATGACCAACGGGGGAAGTCCATCTCTACCCAAAGACCTTTGGACTTGAATCATGCATCTGAGTGCGGCCTGGTCTTGAGGCATCTGGGGGCTGTCCCTTGAGCATGTGTAACAGTGCTGTGGCGTGATAAGTCTCTCAAAGAGTTCATTGTTGAAGCAGGAGATGACGGGCTGAGACATTCCCGTCCAGACCCCATCTAGACAGGGGTATTTGAACACCACACGAGATGTACCGCACCCGGCACATTGCCAGCTTAGGAGTCGACACATCTTCGTAATAACTGACGTATCCGAGATGCGAATAGTTTCTCTTGTCTTCTTTTCGTTCCGGTGAATAACGTTGACGATATGACCTCGGAGTGCTGGCCCACAGTGATAAGATTCTTTCCAGTGAATAACGTTGACGGTATGGCCTCGGAGTGCTGGCCAAAGTGACGGGACTGAGCTGTTGAATAACAAGACACTTACTGTCGAAGGCAAGCTTTCCGAGACGAGTGTTCTAAGCGAGCTTTCTGGGATGAGTGTTCTGAGGCGAGCTTTCTAAGGCAGAATATGCACAGGAGAAAGAAGTCAAGGTGTGGAATGAAGTAGATGTGTAGAAAGACGAATTATGTTTATGGTGATTGTGTTGTGGGAGAAGTAAGGATTCTGACCCAGGATCTTGCAGAAGGAAAAGAAAACACCTTTCTATTTTCTGCCACACATAATTCTCTCGCTTCCGGGACGATCCGTGTCGCGGACGACTAATCAGTCGAGTGCCATGAAGGTACTCTTCGAGATCGTGACGAGAATCACTCTTTGCGACCGGATATCACGTTGGAAGGGGCCAACATCTGTAGTGAGGGCTAGGCACCACAATTCTCTATCGTCCCCAACGATAGACGCCAAGATCGGATAGGGAGTCTACCTGTACATGAAGATACTTGCTGCGGAGATACTCGACCTCGTTCGATTCGATATATAGTCAGCAATATAGTCCTGGCTTGGAATATAGGTACCTAGGTATATTAGACTACCGACGACTTCATATACTACGGCGAAGAGAGAAATTTAGATTGTGTTTGATCACGTATAGTGTGCTTGCCACTGTTTCTTTGAGAAGCAAATAGCTCTTATAGGGGAACTATTCACTTCTAATAAATGTATACAGCTTATAGCTAAGCTAGCCTATAAGGGGGAGACTGTTACGGCATGGAGACTGTGGCTATTCATGATGATCACATGAGATAGAGCTTACTGGAGCCTATTTTATCTGAGAATAAGATCAATCTGTTACGCTCAAGCAGGTGTATCTTAGTAATAGGCTTCAAATTCAGATTCGCTAGTGAGGCGTGGAGTTAGGTAAATATAGCTGTTCAAACATGTTTGGACTCCCTTGATGATACCAAGACTAGCTACCTGTAAGCCTATTATGTTAGAAAAAATATTTCCTACCTATCTTAGGAGACCAGTGACGTTCTTCTGTTTACCTAGTGTTCAAGGTTCTGCCTGGATATACGTTTCTACCTCTGCCACATACCGCGAGCCGAACTTAGGTAACACCAACAGCAGTATCTAGAACCGTTATATGTCTATATACTAGTCTATACATACCGAGAATTTCACCGCTAGGATGTTAGGGGTGGTTAAACAACGAAGTGATTGACTGAGGGAAATTTTCTGACTAGTATAGTGTATGATGCTTGTATTGACTTGTGAGCTTCTAAAGGCCTGAATTAGGTATAAAGGGTTTGCATAAAAAAGATACATACACGACATATAAGTCTTAATGATTGGAAGTTTTAGGGTCCGAAAACAGTGTCCTGTATGCCGCACACAACTATAAAAATAAACCGGTATAAAACCCCGGGTTTTATACGCCATACCGACCGTCCTAGCTAGTAGCCTTTGAACTTTCGTACGTCCACAGAGCCTCTAATTAGATATTCCCCATCGTCGAAGTGAAGAGCTCGCTTCCAAGTTGACTTGCAATATCAGTCCTAGACTTTAACGCAAACATGATACCCGACCAAAAGGGATGAGCAATCAGAGTAAATAAGAGTCAGTGTTGAATCTCAAACGCAAATCGCTCCGTGTTCCCGAGAAGGTCTTCTACATCGTAAAAAATGCGTCCCATCTCGCCTCTAGCCTTGTACTTCTCACCGAGGGTACCACCAGGTTTATTAAGCCAATCTTTCTCCTTCCACCATCCGCAGTCTCTAAACTTGGCCGCATTCTACTTTTCACGGGCTATCCAGACATCTTCAGGCGCAAGTCTAGAGTGCCGCACAATATTACCACTGGCGTCAAGGTATAGGATCCGTAGTTGATCAGTCTCAAACGCCTCACGGTCGGCTACGATGAGGTACGCCTCCACAGCCATGACTTGGAGTTCCATTCCAACACCAGCTTCAACTTCCTCTTCTTTATTTTCAGCACGAATGACGTTCTCCCTAAGCTGCTGGCGAGTGGATAGAAAGTCCTTATCTTATGTAAGATGCCACCCGCAAAGGCGCGAGTGTAGCCTTGTTGAGGGCCGGCAAAGCTCTAGGAGGATATAGAAGACCCGTTTCCAATTCCCGCCGAAGTCGAAGATCTGAGGATCATTCAATATGAGAAAGGGGGCAAGGTCTTCTTCGAACGCGGGATCCAAGTCTTGGTCAATCTCACACCATTCCGCGAGCTTGTCATCGCCGTCACCATAATGCGTCCGCAGCAAAATTACTTCGTCGTCATGGTTCTTCCAGATGAACAGAGCGGCTTGGCGTAGATACAGGGGGCGCCATGGTGCGAGGGTACCTATCACGCACTTGCTCCGCAGTCGGGACGCGTTCCATGAGTAGGATGTTGACAGTCTCGCGGCCTGTCGTATCCCACGACGCGGGGATGGTTTCTAACTGCATGAATGCACAGATCTGATCACGACTTTGATCTGACCGAGAGGCAGTAGAGGAGTAATCCCAATGGCGCTATAAACGTGCCGTTAGCCCATGTCATGAAATGATAGCCCAACTCACAATGAGATACTGCTCAGCGGGAAAGGCGCCCCAGGATGGGGAGACCTCAGCAAATCGCGAGTTAGACTGCTGCACCGATATTTGAATGAAAATATGAGTTGATACAACCTTGTAAGCTTAGTTTGATGCAGTTTTGCTGCTAATTAGTGGCAGGCTATAGAAGGAAATCAAGAACCAGTATACTAGATTATACCGTGTTTGTTTAATCTACTTTGTCCCAATGCTAAGGTGAGCTAGTTCGTTTGTCTTCCACTTACGAGAGCCACACTTAACGCCATAAACGAGCGCTAACAAGACTAAGGTATATCAAATATCTTTGCTTGAAAATTTTTATCAGCAGAGACACACCTCGAAGTCCGAATTGGTGTAGTGGCTAACATTTGGTGCTCTCATCAGGAAGCAAACTCTTCCTAGGTGATCCGCCAAGCCCGGGGTTCGATTCCCCGATTCGGAGTTGCTTCATATATTTTTGTCTATAATATATTTTAGCTTAGATTTATAAGTGTTGTGTTGTTATATATACATGTATGGGCATGTGTAATGTATTATATGTGAAAGAAATATTAGCGCCGTGGGGTTCTACAGCTTGCACTTCCTGGTGGTGATTATAAGGGTTAAGCTATAGAGCTTGTCGTGTTAGGTCAAGAGATACTAACGTTGATTGTATCATTACCTAGGTATTCTACAATTATGGTAAGCCCGAAGGTTGCCGGTTTCCTAACCGTATCGGAGCATACGAGAATGATCTGTCCTGAATCACTACTATCTTGATTTCCGAGGTCTACAACATCATACGGTCATGTATACTCTGATGCATGTGGACGTCACACCACAGTAATATGAAATTGCTAACCGAAGTCTTGGTTACCTCATGAGGGGAAACGTCTTGGAGCTGAAGATGATAGGCGGATGGGCATGTATCTGTCAGGAGCCAAGTTACTCCAAAATCGACATATAGTTCCCCGCCGCTAGCATTTGGGCCCCGAGGGATGAGTTTATATGTCCTAATGTTCGCCGTATACCTGGGTTGTTCGTAGCCCAGTTGTCTGTGACATATATACACCCTCCCTCTAGAAGTTGATATGGAGCTCCCACTGAGAAAGGACTTGAAGCCTAAGCCGGGCGAGCCTGAAGATTCGGCATGGATATGGGGGAGCGACGACGAGGTTCGTTGGCTCTACTTCTGCATTTATTTCATTAATTGTAACTATTGCTAACGATGTATGAAGCTAGGTAGACTCAACCTACAGACGCCGGAGAGGGTTAAGAAAGCCCTAGAAGCCGTGTTATCTGGAGAGACTATCCCTCTCGGGTTAGTAAGGCACCTTGATCATGCAATATACAGCAATCAGCGTGATATCTGTGAGCCTTTCTGACTAATCCGTGTATTAGTCTTCCGTTTGACCAACCCGCACCGCCGTGTTACGGGCGGAGTGTCTTCAAGCTTCATATCACTCCCAAAGGTGTTTCACATACCTTTGACGATACATACGAATTGAACCCCCAAAGTACTTCCCAGTGGGATGGGTTCCGTCATGTGAGTTGAAATCTAGGACCTGAGGAACTTCGTCCGCAGATGATTGATTTCTTCTTCTAGTGGGCACATATCCCTTCGGGGAATTTCTACAACGGGGTAAGCTCACTGAACAAAGTCTTTCATATATCAAGTGGCCTAAGTATATCGTCTAGACAGTCGCTGGAGATGTGACTGGTGAGAATGCATCGACAAAATGCGGCATACAAGCATGGGCTACTCGCGGCATCGCAGGCAGAGGCCTTCTCCTAGACTACGCTCGCTATGCCGAAGCCAACGATATCAAGCCAGTGTTCTACAGTAATTACAAGATCAGCTATACCGACCTTTTCAACGTAGCGCAGATGCAAGGAATCGATCTGAGGCCGGCGGCTCAAGGAGGTGACGTCCAGATTGGTGATATACTGCTAATCCGATCTGGCTTCTTGAAGAATGCGAACTCGCTCACAGTTGAGCAGAAGGCTGCGTATCACCTTCAACCTCATAAGTTTGGGCACGATGATGGGCAGCGCTACTTGGGCGTGGAACAGAGTGAGGAGATGCTCGACTTCTTGCATGATTCCTACTTTTCAGCCGTAGCCGGGGATCAACCCGCATTTGAAGCGTGGCCTTCTGACAAAGGTGTGTTTGCATCGTTAGTCCCTCTGGATGCCAAGAAATGCTGATGTACCCGTCTTCTCGACTGCAGACTATTACCTTCATGAGAAGCTCTTGGCGCTTTGGGGTTGTCCCATCGGAGAGCTCTGGGATCTTGAGAAGCTTGCAGAGAAATGTGCTGAGAGGAAGCAATGGACATTCTTTCTCGCGAGTGCTCCGAACAATGTCAAGGGTATGTTGTCACGGCTCCCAAGTTTTGTTGGAGTTCATTAGCTGATACGAAACCGTAGGAGGAATATCAAGCACGGCAAACGCTCTAGCTATTGTATGAGGTGGAGGAATCAGCCTTGGGGCTTTACACCTACCTTACTCAATGAGAGCATGTTATCGAATCTGAATAATAACTACATATATAATTTGGATGAAAATTATCAATGTGACGTTTTCTGATCGTTCACTTAGCTAGTAACCCCTTTAGCAGCAGATGGAGCTTAACTACTTAGGTAAAGTACCTAGCACTTCGAAGCTCCGCATGAAAGATCTCTCACCAATTGAGTTATAAGTCATCTATAAGCCGTATGAAACTCCTAGAATATGGCAAGAGAATTTATCTCAGGTTGTTCTGAAAAGGGGGTGGTTGGTTGGGAGTCACGAGACACCGCCGTCGTGTTATCATTGTTAATAACAACGGAAAATTCGGGCAGTTTGTTAGCGGGTATATCGCCCGTCGAGGGTTCGCGACTTCTCAGTCATCCATAAGGTTTCTTCTCAAGTGGAAGGTATCTTGTACTGAGGCGGGGGTATCGTTCCTGCCTTCTGATTGTTATGTAAATTATCATCAATGGGAATGTACTGTACGAATGGGTACATGTATCTTCCCATAAAATAATCTTGGAAGGTACGAAGGTACGTAGGTACGTACAATGTACAGTGTACATGTACCTAGGTACATTTGAAAACAACCAAGTACTTATCTCCACGTGATCTTTCCTTATCGGGCTGACCAAGCTCGGCGCTTGGACCAATCAATTCAATGGTTTGGGACGTTGCAAGGCAGCGTCGAGCTTCGTTGCCTCGCATCAACGCTTTAACCTTATTAGCTTCCTGCCATCACCATCACCGTATCCTCCCTCCACCAACCACACATTAAACACCACCATTAGAACGCTCGTATCTGCCCTCTTGTTCTGGGCTTATTGCATAACTCCTCAGCTCAATCTCATATCCACGACAAAGTTCAGGAACCATGGCAGACGCAGCTCTGAAGCCCGAGAAGGACTTCAGCAAGGAAGCTGACAAGCAGATCGGCGAAGCAGAGAACCTAGCGAAGGTGTGTCTATTTCACCATGATACTTTACTTTTGAACATTGGAAGCTAATGTAGTATTGCAGAATGATATCCAAGCAGCTATCGAGAAGCTTACCACGTTTGAGAAGCAAACTCGTCAGGTCAGCTAGTCTCCATCCTTCTAGCCATTGAGTACTCACTAACCACCACATACTATAGGCGTCCGACCTTGCATCTACATCCCGAACTTTAGTCGCTATATGTACGATTTGCAAAAATGCCGGAAACTGGAGTTTACTCAACGACCAGGTCCTGGTCCTTTCCAAGAAGCATGGCCAGCTCAAACAGGCTATCACCAAGATGGTCCAGACCGTCATGACCTTCCTCGACGATTCCCCAAATCTCGACACCAAACTTACCGTCATTGAGACCCTGCGCACTGTGACTGAGGGCAAGATATTCGTCGAGGTCGAGCGCGCTCGCGTGACCAAGATCCTGTCGGACATCAAGAAACAACAGGGCGACCTGAAGTCCGCCATGGATATTCTCTGCGAATTGCAGGTAGAAACCTTCGGATCCATGGAAAGACGCGAAAAGACAGAATTCATACTCGCCCAAGTTGCCCTGAGCATTGAGAACGGCGATTGGACGCAAGCTGGTATCCTCAGCCGCAAAATTAGCACTAGGTACCTATCGCGAAAGCCCAAGAAGACGCCGGAACAGTTGGAGAAAGAGAAGAAAGTCCGGGAAGAGAAGTTGAAGCGCGGGGAGGAGGTGCCTCCGGAGCAAGAGGATGATACTACCGACTTGAAGCTAGCCTACTACGAACAGCAGATTACCCTGGCAAAGCACGACGACAAGTATCTCGACGCCTGCAAGCACTACAGACAAGTGCTAGACACCGCGGCTGTCGAGGATGATCCTTCAAAGCTGCAACCCGTACGCTACCTGTTTCACTAGCAAACCAAACATCACTAACATTAACTAGGTATTGCAACGCATCATCTACTTCGTTATCCTGGCCCCTCACGACAACGAGCAGCACGATCTATTACAGCGCGTCTTCCGTGATGCCCGAAATTCCCAAATTCCTATCGATGCATCCCTCCTAAAATTGTTTACGGTGCACGAGCTTATGCGATGGCCCGAGGTCGCTAAGCAATACGGTCCCCATCTATGCGGAACTGACATCTTTGAAGAGAGTCCGAACCAGTCCGCAGATGAGAAGGCCCATCAGCGCTGGCAAGATCTGCGCAAGCGAGTTATCGAGCACAACGTCAGAGTTGTGGCCAAGTATTACACTCGCATCGGTATGAAGCGCCTGACTCAGCTACTTGACTTGACAGAGGATGAGACGGAGAAGTATATTAGCGAGCTGGTATGCTCCAAGACAGTCTTCGCCCGTATCGATCGACCAGCTAGCATAGTGAGTTTCGCCAAGCCTAGAGATGTTGATGACATCCTGAACGAGTGGAGCCACAACATGAAGAGCTTGCTCGGATTATTGGAACGTGTCGATCATCTCATCACCAAGGAAGAGATGATGGCACGGATCCAACCTGGTGCGAAGGAGGGTAAGGAGAAGAAGGGCAAGAAGAAGGCGTAATAAGCTTTACGAGGACTCAGTTAGGCGTAGGTAATTCTTTCGGGGCTAGAGATGGCTTGGGTCTCGAGGCACAGCACAGGTTTGCATCCAAAAGCATGCGAATGTACAATATTAGATCAGGAGGGGCACATGAATTCCCGTGTAGAACCGGATTTGCCTTCTGTTTCTTAACATAATATTCTATGGTCGTCTAGTTCATGCGTGAATATGTCCCATAGTCTAATTATAACCCTTCGTACACGCCTTCCTCTATCTACTCTTATGCCATGCAACGAAGATCACAGAGACTCCTTGTTCGCAGCACCCCCGTCCTCATACCGCTGCCTCAACCATCCCGCCAGAGCCATGGCCCAGTCCTTGGCAACCGGTACGTAGTGGCCGCCCGGATGCACCACCACCGTCGGGTCCCGACACCGATCGATCAACCCCT